AAACACTGTCACTTCTACAACATACCTTGATTTACTGACTGATTTTACTGACTTACTGTAATTTGTGATCATCATTTAACTGTCTATCGTGTCTATAGCTTTTTAAGCTAATTTAACGCAATTTTTATTGAGGTTTGCACATTATTGATGGTACAAAATTTCTTTTTATTACAGGCAAGGATTCTTTCTAAAAATTCAAGGACATTTTCATGAAATTCAAGGACTTTTCAAGGACTGTGCGAACCATTAATTTATTATAATATAAGGAGATCCTTTCGGTGCACGATCTTCAGCGTGAGATTGACGCGAGGGTCCTGCAAGTGCGGAAATTAGCTTCGCGAGACCGGGCCCCTGTTGTCACACTAGGTTAATCACCTTTGTATACATTTCGAGATAGGTACCAGTCTATAACTATTTGCGTTACGTAACTACGTGGGACCGTTTGAACACTCCATTATCGCGAATCTGGAGATAGCAGGCGCATGTTTGCATGCTGTTAATGATCTGCTGTTTTATAGCCTATATTACAGCATAAATTTGTGGTGATTGTTATGCCGGAGTAATCAGTCAAAAGTCCGCTAATAGGTAAGACTCAATTTGTCTACACTTATGCAGTTTGATGCCTTAATTATTCGTGACGTAGTCAATTTCAGTATTGAGGACTCGAAGAAGAGCACTCGCGCGTTTGGCAGCAGCACATACTGTAGCTTCTTGCAGTATATGTTGCTATAGCAAATGCATTATATCATCATCTCTGATAATATTTAGATAGAGAATAAATAACCTTAATAAATAAAATATTTATAATTAGTTAGTTATTGGTAATCATTAGCAATCACGCGCACTGCCTGCTTATAGTAGTAGAATTCACAAAAAAAGGTATAGTAATATCATACCATATTTGGACCCGTAATCATCATGAAGTTGCTGTCACTTGATGCATACTGAAATTTAATACAATGCGTTTCTATTACTACTTCTTACAAATTTCATATATTTTAATTCTCGCACACACGCT